CAGATGCATAGCAAGTGATTGAAAAGACCATGACCAGAAACAGGCACACCTTAAACTGATATCATTGCTCCTCAGTGCTTTGGAGAAGTTCCTGAACGCAGACTTTCCCAATGTAACATGTCTCCTGACCTTCTGACTGTTGGTACCGAGGGAGCTGATTGTGAATCTGTAGTTCTTAGGTTGTTGTTATGTACCCTTGAGTCACCTGTGATTCATAACAACCCTATGCACAATAACGGAACTCTGCTTTATCCTAAGCTAGTCCCACTATCTCTGACACACCTACCCGCATTATCCCAGTTACTATGTCAATCCATCTCATATGGGGTCTTCCTTTCCTTAGCTGTCTCTCTACCCTTCCAAGCATGATGTGCCTCTCCAAAGACTAGTCCCTCCTGGCCACATGCCCAAAGTATGTGAGACAGAGCTTCAAAATCCTTGCCTCCAAGGAGCAGCCAGCCTGGTTTCATCTTTTCCAGGATAAACCTGTTTGTTCTCTTGGCAGTATGTTCAATACTCTCCTCCAGCACCACAACTCAAAGGCATAGATTCTTCTTCTGTCATCTTTGGCCATTGTCAAGCTCTCTGATTCATAGAGAGTAATTGCAAAGACCATGGCCTAAATGAGACTTACCTGAGTTTCCAGTCAGACATTGTTGCTCTTCAGGACTTTTGAGAGGTCCCTGGCAGCAGCCTGCCCTAGAGCAAGTCATCTTTTGAATTCTTGCCTGCTGGTGCCAAGAGTGTTGATTGTGGAGGCAAGCAAGCTGAAATTGTTAACAACCTCAATCTTTTCTCCATCTGTCACAGTGTTGACAATTGGCCCAGTGGTGAGAGAGAATCTTAGTCTTCTTGATGTTGAGCTTCAATTCATATTGAAGGCTTCAGTCCTTGACTTTCTGTAGTAAGCGCTTCAGGTCCTCCTCAGTTTCTGCAAACAAGATTGTGTCATCCGCATAACGCAGGTTGTTTGTAAGCCTTCCTTCAATCCTGACACATTGGTCTTTCCAGTTGCATCCTATGTATCTGAATATTGGACAATGACAAAGGAAGATCAAAGAAGAACTGATGCCTTGAATTATGGCATTGGTGAAGAGTATTGACTGTCGCATGGACTGCCAAAGAACAAGCGAATCTGTCTTGAGGGAAGTGCAATGAGAGTGCTTCTTAGGATGGACTAGGACCCAGACCTTCAGTTCTTAGTGTGAACGCCTCAGGTCCCTTGCACATCTGTGATACAAGTACGAAGGGAGTGGATTTAAAGAACACAAATTCCCTTTCTCACAGTTCTGGAGGCCAGAAGTCCCAAGCAGGGTGTCAGCCATATTGATTCCTTCCTCCTTAGGAGCCTGGGAGCTGGACTCCATGGCTTGTAGGCACATTCACTTCATCTTCCCCGTACGTGTGTACACGTACAGGGATTGCAGTGCAGCTTCTTGCCACTAGGCCACCAGAGCTCCTTCAACAACAATAAGGAAGGAAATAATTTTCTGTTTATTAAAGCCATCCACTTCTGGTATTTCTGTTACAACAGCACTAGATAACTAAGACACTTCCCCTCTTCAGTAGAACCTAAAAGTGATCTAATTGTTGCTAGTTGCCACTGAGTCCACTGTAGTGTATGTTGAAACCCTGTGTGAAGTAGAACTGCTCCATGAGGTCTTCTAGGCTGTAATCTTTAGGGAAGAGACCTCCCAAGGATCTGATAGGTGGGTTCCAACCACCAACCTTTCAGTTAGCACCTGAGTGCTTCACCCTTGTGCCACAGGGCTCATTATCTGTAGGGATGGAGATAAGATTCCAGCCCATACTTTGGGCTCCATGATTTAATCTGTAACTCGACCTTGTCATTTATTCCCTTTCCCAAGTCCACTAGTAATACAAGGATCTATGGTAAACCTCCCTGGACCCCAGCACTCTTGGTTGTGTCTTACTTATCTAGTGCTGTTGTAGCAGAAATACCAGAAGTGGATGATTTTAATAAACAGAAAATTATTTCCTTCCTGACTGCGTGGATCATAACAAACTGTGGCTGACTCTGAGAAGAATGGGAATCCCAGAACATTTAATCGTGCTAATGCGAAAATCTGGAGAACAACCACTTGGCCAACTGACTGGAAGAGATCTATGTTTGTTCCCATTCCAAAGAAAGGTGACCCAACTGAGTGTGGAAACTACAGAACAGTGTCATTGATTTCACATGCAAGCAAGATTCTGCTGA